GGACCCGAGATGGGACTCGAGTTTCAGCTTATTAACTATGAGGCTCTGGGCGCGTTACTTTGCTTCCCTGGGGCCCTGAGGGGCGAGGGCTCTGAAACACTTGGCACCTGCCACCCCGTGGTGCCTGGGCCTCAATACATGGCGCCCCTGCCCGTCGAGTCCGGGCTCAGTGTGTCCTCGTTCAGACCTAACACTGACCTCGCTTCCTGTCTGCTCTTTAGGGAAACCTCCCTGTGCCCCAGCACAACCACAGACACGCTGACAGATATTCTGAGCAAAGGACACTAGCTCTGTCCTCGAGACCAGCAGCAGGAAGTCAGGGAGTTCATCGCTGGCGGGTGGGTGGGCGGGGAAGATGGCGGTACAGCCCATCCCTTTTGGAGCAGCCACGAACGGTGGGTGACGATGACAGCGACCCCACGTACGTCCTCCCGAGGTTGGCTGACGGAGCCCGGGCATCCCCGACAACCGCATCCCCACGGCCTCCCGGGGGCCAGCGCCACCCGAGGCGACGGCAGGTGCTGCCCTGGAGGCCGCTGCCCTGGCCTTGCCCACCCGAGGTCCAGGCTCCACTGGGTGGAGGGAGCCAGGCTGGCCAGTGGGGCTGCCGCCGCCCAGGCATGCTCTCCTCGCCTTCTATCTCATTGTTTCACAACCAGTTTTACACACGTGACCTCCTTAGCCAGACAAGCCCTGCATGCGGCAGGGCAGTGAGCACGAACGAGCTCCCGCCACAGGGGGCGAGGCTGGTGGTGCGAGGCCCGGCCGTGAGGAGTGGAGACCTACCCACAGAGCTTCACACGCAATAGAAGGAGCCCTACCCTCACCCTCACCCCTACCCCACAAAGTGGCCGTTCACGGCTAATGACGGATCCCTGGTCACCAGGAACCCAGGGCCCGTCTCTACTGCTGTCTCAGACTTGGTCCCTTAACCATCACTTCACTGTCCGAATGGCTGGGCAGTAAGCCCCGCAGGCCACGCCACCCCTACCCCGTGAGCGCACAGCCTCTGCCTCCCTCAATGGAAGCACCAAGGGCCAAGTTCCTGGGAAGAGGAGAAAACAGGGGAGGAGGGCAGCAGGTCAGAGGGCAGAGGGCGGAGGGCAGAGGGCAGAGGGCGAGGGCGCAGCGGAGGCTTCCTCCCCACAGCGTGGCCACTTCCACAGCTCAGCCCTGGGGGCGGGGGGCGGGGGTGAGAACCTACAGCAGCTGTGGGTTTGCAGAACCCCCTGCCTCACAGCACAGGGTGTGTGTGTGTGTGAGGGAGACAGGCAGACAGGGACACGGACACACGGACACACACACACACACCCCGGCCGATCCCAAAGACCAGACACGCCTTTGTCCAGGTGTTTACTTTACTGGAGAAAACACAGGTTCTTACAGCCTCCGCCAGGTCCCATCACTTTAGTTCGGCTGCAGCTGGGAGTTACCCTCGGGAGCTTCTTCTCCTCGGCCGAGTCCACTGTCCACGTGGCGCCGTGTGGAGCAGCGTCTAGGGGAGAGGGCTGGTGGGAAGCAGGAGCCGTCTGATCAGCAGCGCGGACGCCCCACTCGCTCAGCGCAGCGCTCATGTGCAGCCACTCTGGCTCAGACACCACTGAGCTCACCCTATATAATAAAGAGCTAATATGCAAATGGTTGTCACGCCCTCACACCAGGGCCAGGGGACCTGAGGCTGGGCCCGGGGACCTGAGGCCATGCCCTCCACCTAGCAGGGCTTGACGGGGGTGGGGCTGGCCAGGTCTGGGTCTCACGCAATTTTGAGGTGCACGTGGGTGGGCGGGGACTTGACTCTGGGTCCCACAGTGCACCCCAGACTCTGACAGGAGGGAGATTTCATATACATTTTACTAATTTTCTTTCATCACTGACACTTCTATTATAGAGAAAGGGCAAATAGAAATATTAAAATATTTCCTCTAATTAATTCCCTTTTAATGTGCACAAATTTTGTGCACCGGGCCACTAGTCTCTTATAAACGTACCTTCTTTTTTTCATTTTCCAGAAAAGGGTTTCCGCCCATACTTTTGGAATCACAATTTTCTTTCTTTCCAACCCCCCCCCCCCCCCCACTGCCTCCCCCAAGCTTCTGGGGGTCGAAGGGACGGAGGAAAGGGTGACCCACCCCCCCCCTTCTCAGGGTCCCCACAAAAAATCAGCCCACTT